TGGCTATGGCAATTTAAACTACATTCCCTTAAGGTTCACATTATAAAATATTGAGCAGATTGCTGAGTGAAATAATCATTAAGATCATCACCATATTCTAACGATAGCTGACATTTTTTTGGCTTGCTTACAATGTGCCAGGCATTGTTGTATGGGCTTTTAATCAGCTAGCACATTGAGTCCTTACAGAAACCTCAGAAGGTTTGTATTATTAATACCATTTTATAAGTGAGGAAACTGAGGATGAAAACCATGAAGGTGGCGAGTGCATGGAAAAGAGGCAAAATGTAATTCATGCCATGGGACAGAAGAGATGTGAACTAGATCCACACAAAACATTTGTTTGAATGTTTAAATTTGGTCTGCAAAATATCAGACACCTGAATGAAAGGAATAAAACCCAGGTAATTACCACTCATTGTAAAAATCAAGTACTAAGAAAAATATATGGCCATAAGTAAATAACCCATTCACTTACCTCATCGGTTTAGTATAATTTTTGGCAAATTATCATGCAAACCTTTACTGTAGATTTCTTCTACAGTCTATGCCCACTTGTACTTTAATTTCAAGTAGTGGAGTTACCAATGCTAAGCCAAACGGCCCTGGAAAAGCCCTCCAACATACTGCCATAGAATTATCCCTGAACTGAACCGGCCCTGTCAGCTGACTTATCGTTCCTCCTTGCCTGGTTCTAAATTTAAATATAGTTTCCTAAACAAAACGTATATACGTTCTGAACATATTTTTCCCGTCTCGAATTATGCAAACTATCCTCCTCTTTTCAGGACAGCTACTTCATAAATCTGAGCCAGTTCAAGAGTCAAGACTCTTAAATCATCACAATTAAATATATTCAAATTCTCTCCGTAGCTCTCCATGCTGTGAGAGCAAGCTTTTACTTCCAGAAGGATATTGATAATTTTAGCAACTGCAGGGAAAGGCTCAGCCTTGGACCAAAGGTGTTATTCTGTTTTGTTTTGTTTTTTTCAGTCCACAACATTGGAAATATTAATTATTAAGTCGCACCATATTATGTAGGTATGAATTTAAGAATATGAATGCTTTCGAAAGCGGACAGACAGCAGCAGGCTCAGGATTAAGTGCCACCGTTTAATGCTCACAAGCGATGTCACCAGTTGTGCCTTCCTGCTCTCTCGCACACCTCCGATCAAGATCAAACATCAGATAAAAGCTGCAGGCTACCGCAGTCAGGCCCTTTCTGTTTCTCCTGCATATCCACGTGTGCCTAAGTGCTCCTTCCGTTCTCAGGAAGAAATATGGATGCTGTCACAGGAAGAGACGACTCAACTCCCATTCCGGGTTAATCCCTCCACCTGTGTTCTTGATCCCACCTTTCCTGCCTAGCTCTGGCTTTGTTCTAGCAATTCTTTTTTTCTTTTTCTTTTTTTTTCTTTTTCTTTTAGATCTTTAAACTTTCCCTCTCCAGCAGCTCCTTCCCTGCAGGCCATAAATATGTTCAAGTCTTACCAACAAACTAAAAATGTTTTCTAAAAAGAAACCGAATTTGCAGTGTCCCCTCCTGGTGTTACCCTACTTTTTGTCCTTTGCAGCCAGGAATCTCTAGCCAGGGTGACTTATGGTCTCTTTAGCAACACCTTGCTCTCCTTCCTCTACCCACCACAAGCTGTCTTTTGTTACTTGGAGGGGACCTTCGTGGTTTCCTGGTAGGTAATCTAAGAAACAGGTGTTTGATCCCTTGAGTTAAGTTCACCAGTCAATGTCTAACCCTCTTAAACATTTTATCTGTATTTCTTACCACTTGGCTCCAACCATCCTACAACAACTGATATTTCCTACGATTTTTCTCTTAGACTTACTTTCTCCTCACACTATCGGCTCCTCCTGGGTGACGCCACGCACTCTAACAATGTCCCCTAACCACAAAATTGGCTGTTGATTTCTTAAATTATGTTCAAATCCAGAACTTTCTCCTAAGTATCAGAACTATAGGAGTGCTGGGGTGCCAACCACCTTTTAAATAGTGTCTCTTTTCACGTGCACTTCAAATTCAGTATTTCCAATATTCCCCTAAATTACTATGTCCCTCCCAAACTTGCTCTTCTTTTTGGATTAATTAATGGCCCCATTCTTCACCCAGGTGCCTAAGCCTCCAGTGACTCCCCCTTTTCCATGACCCAGAGTTAATATTTCAGTCCGTCTGCTCCAGTGGATTAAGGTGAGGGTTTTATTTTTCTCACACAACAAAATGTCTGGAGGTAAGTAGCTCCTACCTGGTAGAACAGCTAAACAATGTCATCAGAGTTCAAGCTTTTTCTACCATCCTGTCCTGTATCCTAGTGTGGGATTCTCATTCTCCTGGTTACAATACGCTTCCTTCATTTTATCTGCATTCCAGGCAGGAGCAAAGGACCAAAGGGTCCTGCCAACTATTGGAATCGCCTCCCTTTAGACGGGTTCACGCTGAAACGCCAATCAGCCATTCACGTTTATGCCTTGTTGGCCACAACTGGCTCACAAAGGTGCCGTCTGCAACTACGTGTGACAGGAAGGTATCTCTGGCAGCTAGATTGCCAAGCAACACGTATCTGATTTTGGGTCTTGGTAATAAGCACATACTAGTAAACTGGATTTCAGTGTAAGAAGCTGCCTCAGAACTTGGTGGTTTAAAAACACAATAATTATTATGTCTCACAATTCTTTGTGGGTGGGGGGGGGACGGGCGACAGGTCTGAGATGGTTAGGCTGAGGCTGGATGATCGGAGATGGTCTCATGCTCATGTCTAGGACCTCATCTGAGATGGCTGGGCCTCCTTCTCTCTCCATGGGACTTCTCACCCTCCAGGAGGCGAGGGCTTCTTCCCATGGTCTTGGTGTTCTCAGAAGCAACAGAAGACAAGGCCCAGTGCTCTAGTGCTTTTCAAGCATCTCTTTATATGATGTTTGTTAATGTCCCATCAGCCAGAACATTCACACGGCCAAGCCAGAGTTCAAGGGGTGGAGAGAGAGATTGTATTTCCTTTACTTTATTTTGTTTTTAGCGGAGCCATCCTGCCACCTATTGGCAGCTCAGCTCAGGCTGGGGCTGGGCATCGAACCGCTGTTGCTCCGAGCTTGCACTCTGGAGTGAGCTCTTAACCAACGGGGCCATTTGGCCGGCCCCGAGATTGTACTTCCTGATGGGAGGATGGCACAGTGACATTGCTTATAAGGATGGGAGAAAACGATGGCCATTTTTTCCCAATCCACTACAGTAAGGAGGCACAGGAGAAAAGGTGCTGGGTGGGCAACAGTAGTGGCTCCCCATCGCTTGTATTTTAACCTCGTTTAACCTGTCAGTATCTCATTCAATAACATTAAAAAAAAAAGTCTTTCCATTCTATGCATCCCCTTAACTTTCTAACTTCCTGGCTGCAGGTCTTAATTAACTTTCACATCCATGACACAAATAAGATGAAAATCGGTCATAAGGGTGGGCCCTGATCCAAATGGATTAATGTCCTTGTGAGAAGAGATACTAGAGGTTTTGTTCTCTGTCTCTGTCTCTGTCTCTGTCTCTCTCTCTCTCTCTCTCTCCCCCCACTCCCTCCCTCCATGTGCGCTCATTAAGAAAATGTCATGCGACTACACAGCAGGAAGGTGGTTGTCTAACAAGCAAGGAAGAGACAGCCCTCACCAGAAACGAAGTTTGCCGACATCTTGGTCATGGAGTTCTGCCCCCAGGACTGTGAGAAGATAATTTTCTGTCCTTTGAGCCACCCGGTCTGTGGCTTTTGGTATAGTAGCCCGAGCAGGCTAGTATATGGTTTCTCTCTCAGAAGAACACACAGAACTTTCCATGTAATGTCAAGCGCGACTCGACACCTGCGGCGCCACCTAGGAACCCTGAAGGCATTTATGCATTCCTGCTCCCCGACAGCATCTCGGAGAGCTTTCAAAGCACATATTTATTTACATGGTCGCCTATTTTAACACTGCTAGTCGCTTCCCCTCAGCTTCAAGGTCCTTCCTGACGTGACCTGTGTCTTCCAGCTGCTCCAAGCTTCCTTCTCGTCCAGCAACGTCGCCGCTGCGAGCTGGCTTCTGTTCCTGAGCACAGCACCCTCCCTTCCCTCTGTGTCTTTACACCTGTTGCCACCTGCATCTGGAGTGCCCTCTACTTTCTTATCTGTCGGGTGAACACTTACTCATTTTTCCAACATTGATCTTTCTATGAATAATGGATCTTTCCCAGTAGCCCTTCCCATGGGGGCGACTCCAACAGAGCTAGTTTCCCCCTCTGTGCCACCTCTATTTTTTAATATGTTAATTTGCTTATTTTAACAATAAAATATTTTGCTTTATTTTAACAAGATGTGTTGATACTGGGTTTTGAATTTTTGACCATTTTTTACTAAGCTTTATGTGGCAGCCAACATTATTAGTGTTCATGGTTTATATCTGAGATATAAGGCACTAGGACATAAAATAATAAACCATTAAAGGATATACTTTCTGGTAAAAATGTCAGTAGACCACATTAAGATACATATAATAGTAAGGTAACAGGAAACTATTACACAGCTAGTGCCTTTTACATTAGAATTTCATGCCCACACATGCATTTGTACACACACACACACACACACACACACACACACACACACACCTATATTTAGAACATTGAACATGTAGGAAAAGAAAAGGCAAAAACACCAGGGCAAAGAAGAAAAAAAAAAAAAAAGAGATGCATTACCAGAATCTAAACACTTTTGGCAAGCCTTCTAACAGTAAGTGAAATAATTATATATCCAAAACAAATGAAAATTCGTCAAAAATGTCACCCTCCTTTCATAAGAGAGAGAATAAAGGCATGCCCATATTAGATTATTATACTTGTATATTTACAAATCTCTTGTAACATAAATCCTATGAAATGGCCAGAAGTTGATACCCCTTTGATTACACTGTGACTCGTTCATGTTCTCTGCCTCCTCTGGAGAGCGGTTCATAGCTTAGTTGAGCCTTAGGAGAGCAGCTTACTGAAACCCATCATGGTCAATGTGCATGCTGCCTCTGTGACCTTGGTCCAAGCGTCCTAGTTCTTCCTCCTGTGAAGCTGGGAGGATCTATCTTTTCCTTCCTATGTCAGTGATCTCGGGAAGTTTGGTCACACACAGCACATAACAAGTGTTTAAACCGTTGTTCACAGTCCCGAAAACTTGATGGCCGAAAACTAACGTCCAGCCCTGATAACTTAGAGAAGCCACAGGTGATGACGACGGCCCATCCTTCCTCATTGATGCTGTTATTATAGTTCAGGTCCAGCTTCCGTGGCCTGGGCAGGTGACCTGTCTATACTACCGATGCCAGGAGAGCCACGTGCTCTGTCACTGGGGAACAACAGCTCAGCCTCAGCACTTGAAGGGGCGTTTAAAGCTTTAGTGTTTTCAGGGGCAGCTTCAGACTTAATGTCAAGAAAGGCTGAGTGTTTCCAGAGCAGGGAGGTGAATGGAGGCTTCAGTGAGGGCAGTAAAAGTGTCACCTTCTAAAGCATGTTTGGTGATTCGTCATCCCTCCAATGCTGATAAAATCGGAACCTGCTCTGCAGGTTTCAGAAGGAGCAGCCCATCTTTTTGTTGGGGGATAAATCCAAGTTTTGAAGACTCAAGAGTACAGGGATCACTTGGGTCGGCGACCCCGCGTCATATGCTGTTAGCGAGCACTGGTTAAGGTCCGGGACTTCCAGATGCTTCCATGTGGCCAACTGTGCTGGTGAGTCTTCCAAACCTCTCCCAGCTCCTCCTCGCTGCAGGAAAGGTCTAGTTTCCTCATCGCATCCAGGTATCTCAAAGCAGCATCCAATATTTGACACTCGTTTGTGATCATGGACGTGAATAACTCAAACACTCTTAGTCTTCTGATGTGAGGGCACAATCCACAACCTCCTGGGTTTGGATCTTGCGCACTTCTTGAACTTCTGCAGGATCAGAGGTGTGTTTCCCCGCACTTTACTACTCCAGGACAATTTCAGGTCCTCGAGTTCAAAGACGGCTTTAAGTGCTTCACCCCGGGGCTCCAACAACATCAAAGGCTATAAGTCTGCAACTCCCCAGCCCCAGGATTTTTAACTTGCTGACAAGATGCATTTGCTGGGCGAGTGCATGGAGCCTTCCAACCCTGAAATCAGTCCAGGAAATACCCAGTTTTTCCAAGTCTTGGAGATACGGCAGCAGAGCAATCATTTCCCTCAAGTCCGCTGTTGTGAATCGGCCGTTGTTCAGATCTAGACACTTGCTAACCGCCTTTCTGCCCAGCTTCTTCAGGAACTACTCATTTTCCTCCATCCTGGATCCCAATTCCATTTCTGAATGAGAGGCGTGGCTCCGCTCCTGCCTCCAGGTGCTTGGCATCAAACACTCCAGTGACGCTTTTCTTACAAAAGAGCTGGAGGAACGCGGTGGCTTTTCTTTCGTGGCCTAACTCAGGCTTCTCGGTGCGTAGACAGGGTTATGCTCCTGGATGGAGAGGTATCCTTCTTAGTTTGATGTCGTCTCACTTGTTTATTTTTGCTTTTGTTGCCCTTGCCTTTGGAGTCAAAAAAATTATCCAAGAAATTATCACCAAAGATCCAAAAAATTATCGCCAAGACCGATGTCAAGGAGCTGACCATCTATGTTTTCTTCTAGGAGTTTTATGATTTCAGGTCTTGCATTCAAGCCTTTCATTGATTTCGAGTTCATTTTGTGCACGTTGTAAGAAAGTAGGGCATGGCACAGACAGCAGACTGAAACACACCCGCAAATAAAATGTTTCAGTCAAGCATTTGGCAAACTGTTGATTATATTAACTTGAAAGTTAGGTTATATACCTAGTTACCTTGAGTGCCAGGAAACACCTTCAGAAAGTAGATGTTAGAATCAATATGTTTTGCTGTTGGCTATATTTGGCAGGATAATACCAAAAAAAAAAAAGATGATTTTTAAAAACTGATTTGTCTGATTTACATGTAGAAGTGAAAGGGAATAGAAAAATTTAGGAGATGCATAGAGTTGGAAGACTCAAATATTTCCCAACTCCATGAGGAAAAGATAAACCTAGCTCACTCGGCACCGGGCAGGTGAGGAAGACACCGTCCTGGGTGGTAGGTGAAAGAGAGGTATTCTATGGAAGTGACATGGGTATTTCCAGGCCAGGTCCTGTCCCCCTTAGAATGGTGGCAGCAATGTTCCTTCAGCCTGGGGTCTGAAGTGAAAACATCATAGAAGAGAGCAGCTAGGTGACACACAAAAAGGATCCTGCACAGGCAAGAAATGAACCTCTGGTATATGAAGTCATAAGAAGTTTATTATCTGAGCATACATCAGCCCAGTTGCTCAAACTAAGTGTGCATCAGAATTACGTGGAAGATTTGTTAAAACACAGGTTGGGGACTCACCTTTTGAGTTTCTGATTCAGTAGGTATGGGGAAGTGCCCGAGAATCTGCATGTCTAAGACGTTCCCCAATGATGCTGATGCTATTGGTCCATTGACCACCTTGGAGAACCTGATCTAACCAATCCCGACACACACCAGTATTAACTCTAATATCCTTTTGCAGCCTATGTAACTAGCAGCATGAAACAGTTGAAAGACAAGCATAATGGAAGTCACTTTTCTGTACTCCATTCAGCTCCTAAGCAATTGGAAAATTGCTTTTCCCATCCATGGGAAATGGGAAATCATCCTATATGTCCTCTACAGAGTAGGAAATATACTGAATCAGCAATCAAGGCATACTCAGTGAGAGAGAGAATACTTTGGGACCATGCAAATAGAAAAGAAAGCATTCGGAGCTATACTGGTTAGCATGCCAAGAACACAATCAACTCTACTTAGCTGAAGCAGGAATTGACTTAGTACATGGTATTCAACAGCTTACAAAAATCAAAGAAAGGTGAAGAAACAAATTTGAGGAACTATGTCCATCCTGTGCGTTACTGTGTCTTTACTCTCGACAAGTAACTTGTATTTAATGCATATTTTTGATTGATAAATGCCAAGAATGCATCACTTTTATTCTTATCACTCTGTTTATTGTGCTTCATTATCAGCAAACGTGTGTAAGTAATGTTTGGCTAGAACTGAAAACTGTTCAGCATGAAATTATTTTGACAGAATTTGTTCTAACGTTCCCTCTTCATCTGTGATAGGTAAGATATGGACTCTGCTTGGCGTTCACAGTAAAATTCCTCAAGAGGCGACTTTAGAGATGTTCTGAATGTCTTTATAGAAGCAATTAATTTCTAGCTTTAACTGAAGCCATTCTTCGGAGAGCCACCAAACAAACCTTGTTTTATCACTGGTGTATTTTTGTGCCCTTCAAATAAATCAGTCCGATCATATATTAATAGCACCTCAATGAAGTTGATTTAAAAAGTACAAAAAATAGGCTTTTCTGTTTTTCCAGGGACTTTTAAAAATGTTAATATAAAACACATATGAAGACGCTGAAAATTAGGTGAAAGTAAAGAGCTAATCAAATACTAGTAAAACAGATGTACTTTCAACCAACAAATTTTTTAATGTCCTTTTTTCTGTTATGGGAACTGAGTCCATGTAGCTTAATCCATTTCTCCCTCTGTCTTTATTTATCATCTGATGCTTCACTTAGAGAAGACCTAAGTCAAATAAATGTAAGCTTGTGTTCAGAAGTAAAACAGCTCTTTTTTTGTAGCTGGACATTCATTTTTTTAAAAAAAATTCTACCAACCAGGTATTTGAAATCTCAATGATGAAAGGGGGAAGAGTTCAAAGAAAGATTCCCTGGGGCCGGCCGAGTGACTCAGCTGGTTAAGAGCTTGATCAAGAGTTTGAGCTCCGAGCAACAGCGGTTCGAGTTGCGGCCCGAGCTGAGCAGCCGCTGAGCTGCCAACAGGTGGCAGGATGGCTCAGCTAAAAAAAAAAAAAAAAAAAAAAAGAGCTTGCTCAAGAGCGTGAGCTCTGAGCAACAGCGTTGCTGGTTTGATTCCCACATGGGCCAGTGAGCTGTACCCGAGCTGCGCTGCCGCTGAGCTGCCAACAGGTGGCAGGATGGCTCAGCTGGTGAGAGCACGTGCTCCTAACAAGACTGCCTTTTTGAGATGGTGGGCTATGCCTGCCCACAACTAAAGACTGAACTCGGCACCTTGAGCTGAGCTGCCGCCTGGATGGCTGAGGGGATAGAGCATGCGCTCTTTAACAACGAGGCTGCTGGTTTGACTCCCACATGGGATGGTGGCTACGCCCACCCGCAACTAATGGAACACGGCACCTTGAGCTGAGCGGCGCGACTGGACTTGGAGCTGAGCTAGCTGCGCCCTCCACAACTAAGACTGAAGAACAACAACGTGGCTGTCCCCCTTCCCCAATTCCCCAATAAAATCTCTTAAAAAAGGAAAGAAAGAGCAGTTTTCAGGTCCATTTTTAAGCAGCACCAGGCCCATAAATACGGAAAAGCATCCATTTTCTTAATCGTCTTTATGTATATGAATAAACCTGTTCGTGAAAATGGCACACACCGCCGAGCACTGTTCGTTTATGTCAGGCAGTACTCAGGACACAGAACGCCAGCTCTCTCCCATTCTCTGTTAACACCAGTACAGCATAAATTGGTAATTGTGTGGTAACTATGCAATTAACTCATGTCACCACTGTACCTTTTCATTAGCGTCACTAAGAGTAGTATTACCCTCTCAGTGACCTCAGTGTAAGTGATAACATCCCTAGCTGTTAAAGTGAAAAAAAAAATTAAGTGAATTTAGTGTTGTGAAGGGTGATAGAGTGACAGCCTTGGAGACAGGAGGCCTTTTTATCTATCACATGGCACAAACAGGGAGAAAGCAAACCTCTCGAAGCTGCCTCATTAGTACATCTCACCTCTTTTCTCCAAGAACAGAAGGTTTCTTTCTTATTCTTTCACTTGCCAAGATGACGTGCAAAGTTACCTATTGTGCTCACAGTTTTTCCCATGAAGGTTAATGGCTGGGAGAGCTCTCTCAGTGCAGATTCCAGGCAGTACCTACCCATGCTAACGAATACGCTTGGCATATCTGTCCTTAAAGCAGAACTTCGATAATCCTTACAGATTCTCATTTATCAAGTGTCCGCTTGGGGTATAAACAAAAACTATTCAACATTAAATTACTTTCTGGGAAAGAAAACCCATCCTTATATTCAACCATGGTCAGGTTTTTGCTCTGTAGGTTCGTGTTCTTGCTGAAAATAAAATTGAAAACAGATTATGTATTTGATGGCGTAGCCTTTCATGAACTATGAGACACTGGAGAAGGAAACTTAGGTTGGAGAGCGGTGGGTACCTTACTGATTAAAATCATGGCTTCAAAATCAGATTCGCCTGGGCTTGGGTCCAGGCACCCACATTACTGTTCAGCGAGGGTATAAAAGGAAGACAGGGTATTAGGAAATGCTTTCCCGAGGAAATACTCTTCTAACTGTGATATGGAAGAGAGTTAAAGTTATCTAGGCCCAAGAAGAACAGTCTAGACAGAGAGACTAAGAAACTGGCACATGAAAAAGCTCTACTATGAAAAACTATTCAGCACACCCATGGACTCTAAATGTGCAAATGTGTGTGTGTGTGTGTGTGTGTGTGTGTGTGTGTTTGTGTGTTGTGCGTTCATATGAAGGAGGTTGGGAAATGTAAGGTGCAGTAGAAGGGTTTCAATACATTTTGTGCTTTTGACAAATTATGCTGGATGCAGCATAGTTTATAGAGCAGAGAAGAATTTTTGTGGCAGATCAGTTAAAAGTTGGTTAGGAATTGGCTTGGGACGCCAGCTCTGAGCAGCAGGGCCCTGGTTTGGATCCCACATGAGGGCCAGTGATCCTGTGCCCTCTACAGCTAAGATGGTGAACAACAGCTCAACCTGGAGCTGGGCTGCTGTGAGTTGCCTGAGATGGCGTAGGCTGCAGTGGGGCTGGCCGGCAGCTGGCATCAGCTTTCGTGAGCTGCCATTAGCCGCTGTAAGCGGCTGTCCAATGGCCAGCAACTGATCTGCCTCACCCAGGAAGAACACAATGATGACACCAACATGGGCCAGTGAAGCGACGTCCTCCACAACTAGACTGAAGAACAAAAGGACAGCAACTTGTCTGTTCCCCTTCCCCAATTCCCCAATAAAATCTTAAAAAAAAAGTCTATTACAAGATTTTAGACAACAAATGAGAGTAGTCTTTATGAGGGTGCTGGCAGTGGAGATGGAAAGATGGGTACAGATTCAAGAGCTATTTGGGAGGCAAATTGATGGGACAGGCTATTGGGATGTGAGAAGAGGGAAGATCATGGATGACACCAGGTTTTGGCTCCTAGAACCAGATGATTATTGACTCCCACGGAGGATACTAAAGAAAAACAGATTTGTATGAGAAGAC